TTTTTTTTTGGTACCGGAGATCGAACTCAGGACATTGCGCTTGCAAGGCAGGTGCAGCGGCACCACTGAGCTAAATCCCTGGCTCCTAGATTTATCCATTGTTGCTAAATGTATACACAGTTCATTCCTTGTGTGAATGCACCACAATTTATTTACCATTGTCCCACCGATGTCCATTTGGGATGCTTCCAGACTGGGACATTCTGAATAAAGCTTGCTATGCACATTCTTGTAGAAGCCTTTCGTGTGTGTGAACATGGGTTTTCATTTCTTTTATGAGTGAAAACTGTATATTGAAAGCTAGGTGTGTGCTTGATTTTTATGTAACATTGTCAAAATTTTTTCCACAATGGATATACTATCTTTTACATTTCTACTAGCAATGACTGGGAGCTCCATTTGCTCATAGCCTTACTGACACTGATGCTGTTCATCTGTTGAACCCTTGCCATGCTAAGGGGCTGCAGCTGTTTCACTGTGAGGTCAGCTGGTATCTCCTGGTGGCCAGGCTGCTGGGCATCTCTTCACACGCCTGTTCCTCACTCATCCTCCTTTGTGAAGGAACTGCTTATGACTTTCACCAATTTTTTAAACAATGGGTTTATCTTCTTCCAGGCTATGGATTCTTATTATTCTTAATGATGCTTTTGCTAACTAGAAATATTTAATTGTAAAGAAGCCTAATTTATAATTTTTCCCTTTCACGGCTATTACTTTCTATCCCCAGCAACATTTATATAAGTAAAACAAAGAACTTCTGGGATTATGATTGGGATAGTATTGAATCTCTAGCTTACACTGGGGAGAACTGACATTTTTAACCATTTGAGTTTTCCAATCCATGGGTATGGTATCTTTTCCCATTTAACAGGATATTCAAAAGAAAAACTATTTTGAGAAAGATGGTGTTCAAGGTTAAAGGTGATTTGTATTCTATTCCACTCTATCATGGTCAAAACCTTATTAGCTATTAGACTGCTTTAGTTAGAGATTACCTCAAATAATAATAATAATTTCAAGCAGGGAAAATGATCCTTAAAATGTAAATAAAGAAAATGTATATGAGCTACTCTAACAAGATAGCCAATAAACTTGAGGTATTTGTGGGTAAATGGATGCACCTCAAGACCATAATCTTAAGTGAAATAAATCAGACCCACAGGTTTAACTATTGCATGGTTTCTCTCATATGAGAAATGCAAAGTATAAATAAAGAGAAAAATAAAAGATAACAGGAAGTAGGGAGATCATTTTCAAATGGGAAGGGAAATGAGAGATGGAGGAAGAGGAGGAAAAGAAGGAAAAGGGGATTTTAAAAAGAGAATTGAAGGCCAGGGACATAGCTCAGTGGTTCTACCCCCTGCCTCGCAAGCACACAGACCTGAGTTCGATCCCTGCATACCGAAAAAAAAAAAAAAAGAATTGAAGAAAAATGGACATAGAGATTTTGCAAATGGGAAGGAGAACGAGAGTTGAAGGGAACAGGGAGGGATGGGAGGAGAAAAGGACAAAAAAAAGAAGATGTGTGTATACATGTACAAACTCCCCACAATAAACGCCATTATGGACACAAATGTACCAATAAAAATTTTTTTTAATGCATACAATTTTTTAAGCATCAGAGGAAATCCACATGGTCTACCTGAGAGAGGGGGAAGCTAATCACAAGATTTGAGTTCTCTTTTTCTTTCTTTCTTTTTTTTTTTGAGATAAGGTCTTGCTATGTAGTTCAGTCTGGTCTTGAACTCACAGCAATCCTCCTGCCTCAGCCTCCTGAGTGCTGGGATTACAGGCCTGTGCCACCGTGCCCAGCCAAGATTTGGGTTCTTGAAGCACTGGACAACATTTTAAAAAGTAGGCACTGAATGAAAGATAATGGAAGGTGGAAACCCCAGCTTCCAATGATGACATAATAATGCCCCCCTAGCTGACCTCTTTAAAACAGTTTCCCGACTTGTGGAAGTGGAAAAGCACTGGTGAGGGCAGTCTCTGAAATCATTTACTCCAGTGTACAAGTCAGCTCTCAGCGGTGAGAACACCAAGAAGAGAGACACGATTAGTTCCGCAGTGGAAAAGAGAATTTTTTAAAAATCCTAATTCTTCAAATGTAGAAATGGAACTATTAAATATCCTGTATTTATCAGGGGGTATTTTTGCAATCAACTCAAACTAGAATCAGGGAAAATCAAAAGGAGAGGACTGTGTATATGCACATGTTGGGGATAGAGGTGAAAGTCCCTGAGAGACAGTTCTCCGGTTACGGGCTTTTCCTTTGTCCCTTAAATCGGACAGACACTGTCCTAAACAATGCCGCCAGGCCTGGAGCAGCGTGAATTGCTGCCAGGGAGATTAAAAATAACCACCAAGGGCTGGCCCAGGATGATCTCGCTCAGGTCCTGGCCTCTCCTGCTCAGGTCCTGGCCTCTCCCAGGAGGCTGTGCGGCCGGCAGGATGGATCTTTAGCATCTCCTACTCCTGGGCTGGCCTGTTCCTTGCCCTGGGTCCTCCCAATGTGTTGAATGCCTCAGCTGTCCAGAGGAGCACCACACCCAGGCCTGCCCTCCTCGGAATGTGGCTGTGACCCGAGAGCAATGTTTCTGCCCATCTTTCTGTTTACTTCTCCTAAGCCTCGGTGACCTTAGCAGGAGGCTGAGGTGGGAGAACCACTTGAGCTCGTGAGTTTGACTGCAGCCTGGAGAACACGGTAAGCCTCCATCTCAGAAAAAGAAAAAACAGGTAAAGTTAAGATGCCCTTCCTGTCAGCTAATCAACTAAGAGGAAAGGAATGCTATAAATGAGTTCATGCTGTCATGTAACTAACACTTTATTCCTCCCATGTGGCCTGGTGTTCTAATATTTCATTAAGCTAAAGGAATATGCTCCTTAGGAGGAAAGCTCAAAGTAAGAAAATCTGGGGAGTTCTGGGTTTTCTCCAACCACCTGTGCCAGTCTGTTTTCCAGGATAACAAATGCCTGAGGCAGGTGACTATAAGAAGAGGCCTACTCTGAGCATCGTGGTGGACACCTGTAATCTCAGCACCCTGGGAGGTTGAGGCAGGAGAATTGCAAATTTGAGACCAATGTGGGCAACTTAGTGACTTGGTGAGATCCTGTCTCAAACAAAAATAAATACATAAATATAAAAATAAAAATAGCTAGGGACATAGCTTAAAGCAAAGGCCTCCAATTCAATCCCCACTACTGAAAAAGTATGGAAGAAAAGGGGAAAAAAAGAGCAAAAGAAAAAGGACAGAGGTTTGTTTAAGCTCACAGCTCTGCAAATCCAAGGTACTAGCATCAGCCCAGCTCAGGTGGGACCCTCTCACTGGGCGGTGTCACCACAGTGGGCGTTCACATGGAAGAGGAGGCCACGTGGCTGCATAAGAAGCCGAAGAGGCTGGGAGCGGCCAGGCCTGCTCCTTTATAGCAATCTTCTCTCCAGAACTAACTCCACAGTTTCCTTATCCATTCATCTGTGATGGACATACAGGCTGCTTCCAAGGTCTAGCCATTATGAATTGTGCTGCTATAAACATGGGCATGCACGTATCACCATAATATAATGTCTTTAACCCTTTCAGGAAGATACGCAGAAGGGGACTAGCAGGGTCAAATGGAATTTCTTGGTATTTTTCCATAATGGAGAACTACTCAACAATAAAGAAGGATAAATGAGTCATTTATAGGGAAATGGATGCACCTTGAGACCATAATATTAAGTAAAATAAATCAGTTTCAATAATACATGGTTTCTCTTAGGTGAGAAGCCCATAGTATAAATAAAGAGCAAAATAAAAGAGAGCATGAGACAGAGACAGATCTTTTGCAAAAGGGAAGAGGATGAAGAGATGGAGACGGGAGAGGAGAGGAATAAAAATAATTTACTGCAGGCACCACGAGAACCACCTCAGTCTCTCCGGAAGGCAGGCCTGCCTCGCTCCCCACTGCACAATCCCCGCACCTCAACATCACGACACTGAAGATGGAGCCTCCCAAAGCAGGCATCCTGTGCTCAAACCATGGCACCATCCAAGTGTCCCCAGCTGCCAGCGTCCTTCCTAGGATGAGGTTTGTCCACCTCCACAAGAGACAATGTCGCTACCTCCACTGACTCTTGAGAAAAAGTTAGAGAAAAACTGGCGGGTTTTAAAAACCTGCTGAGAAGAGCAATGTAAATCTAAAAGGTGGAACGTAATTCTGATTCTTAAAGTTTTCCTCAGTGTAAAAGAAAACTGAATGATGAGCAAGGGGGCCAAGACCACTCAACGGGGGAAAGGGCAATCTTCTCAGCAAAAGATGTTGAGAAAACTGGATCTCCACATGCAGACATACAAAGCTTAAAATGGGCCAAAGAGTAAATGTAAGAGCTAAAACTACAAAGCTCTTAGAAGAAAATGTAGGTGAAAATCTTCATGACATTGGTGTGGCATTAAATTCTTGAATATAGCATGAAAAGCATGGGCAGCAAAAGAAAAAATTAGATACATTTGACTGTGTCAAAATGTAAAACTTTAAGCTGGGTGCAGTGGCATAAGCCTGTAACCATACCTACTTGGGAGGCTGAGGCAGGAGGATTGTGCATTCAAGGTCAGGTTGAGTGACATAGTAAGACCTCATTTCAAAAAAAAAAAAATTAAAACGTTTGTGTGTCAAATACACTAGCAACAGAGTGAAAATGCAGCCTCTCCAATAATGTATTTATAAAGTATATATATGTATATTGATATTAATATTGAGAATGTAAAAATAACTCCCATAGCTCAATTAAAAAGACAATCTCAGTTCAAAAATGGGCATGATGGTGCATGCCTGTAATCTCAGCACTCTGGAGGCTGAGGCAGGAAGATGACTTGAACTGAGAAGTTTTCTAACCACCTGGGCAACAAAGCAACACCTCATTTTTTTTCAGTACTGGAGATTGAACCTACCCAGCGCTAGGCAGGCTCTGTGCCACTGAGCTACATCCCTGACCCCTGCAACACACCCATATTTTAAAAAATGGGCACAGGACTTGAACAGACATTACTCCAAGTGGCAGGTAAGCACATGAAAAAATGTTCAACATCATTAATTATTAAGGAAATACAAATCAAAACCACCATGGGATAACACTTCACACTATTAGGATGGCTACTATCAAACAAACAGCCAAATGTTGGCAAGGATGTAGAGAAATTAGAAGTCATGTGGACTGCTAGTAAGAATGTAAAGTGGTGTGACCACTATGGAATACAATATAGCAAACTTAATTTTCTCAAAAAATAAAGTGTTTAAACATAGATGGAATGGTCCAGCAATCCTACTTCTAGGCATGCATCCCAAAGAATTGAGAGCAGGGACTGAAGCAGGTATCTGCGAATCCATGTTCAAAGTAGCATCAATGACCACAGCCAAAAGGCAGAAGCCACTCACGAGTCCATGGACAGATGAACTGATAAGCAAAATGTGGCAAAACATACATGGCACAGTACTCAGCCTTTAAAGGGAAGGAAATTCTACCATGCACCATACCATGGGTGCGTCTTGAAGATATTACACTTAGTAAAATAAGCCAATCACAAAAGGACAGATATTATGTGACTCCACTTAGATGAGATACCTAGAGTAGATTCACAGAGACAGGAAGTAGGATGGTTTTTCTCAGAGACTGGGGAGAGGGAGGAGTGGAGGTTAGTGTCTAATCTACAGTTTTGGTCTGGGATGTCAGAAATGTCTAGATAGTGATGCACGTGAATGTCTTTAAGACCACTAGATTGTACTCTCAGAAAGGGTAGATATAGTGAATTTTTATGTTATGCATATTTTAACACACACCCCTGCATGAGCATTCACTTACTGTACAAGGTCAGGGTTATAACCCAAAATATGCTTTCATTTTTCTAAATAGGCGAAAACAGTAAGAGGTGGTTTGATTCTTCCATTTTGACTCTAGACCACAAACAATAAAGACTTCCAAGTCTCCTTGGATCCGTGTAACAGAAAATTGTTCGATGTGGTGGGCAGAAGGCCCGGAAGCTGTGGCTGGCCTGGGAGAGTGACTGGCCCGAGCTTCCCCTCCCGACCACCCTGCAGAAGAGAAGTCACCGTCCCTGCATGGCAGAGCTGTGTTACTACCAAACACAAGTGCGAGGAAGGCTTTTTCTCTGCCAGGGTAACTGCACGGAGCCTTCACTTCTCCCTGCCGTGGACAGCCAGCCGGCCAGGCTCCTCGGAGCTCTCAGTTCGGCCTTGACCTTGGCCCCTGTCCTCGCTAACCGGGTGTGACCCAAGTTTTAGCAAGAATCTGGTGAGTGGGTTTTGTGCAAATCTCCCCCCCCACCTTGATGTCCTGGGAATTACCAGTGATCTCCTCTTCCTTGCTCTAATTCTTCCTCCGTCTCTGTTATATTCAGATCGAGCTCCATCTCTCCCCTGTTGTGATGCTCCTATTCCAAGAGCCCCAAATAAAGTCATCGTTATTTAACAAGTGTCAAATTAATTTTTGAATACATTTCAGCAGGAAGCTTAGAGGTTTTAAAATTTTTTTAGCATTGCAGAAGCAACAGTTGGGGGAGTGGGTCATAGTTACTGGCATAGTAGCCAATAATCTAGCCAACCATTGAACTGTGTTCTGGTAAATGAAACCCAACATTTGCTCACTAGAGCCATGGCTACATGACCTGCTCACAGCTGCAATATTTAATGGTTGCATCAGAGCTCTCCTGGGAGAAAGGAGAAGAAATTATCCATGAAGACTCAAAAATCAGGGTCTGGCCTATGGATTTAGCTCAGTGGTTCCACTGCCTGCCTCGCAAGTGCAAGGTTCCAAGTTCGATCCCCGGTACAAAAAAAAAAAAAAAAAACAACCAGGGTCTGAGGCTTCAATACTGTTTCAGGAGCAACAATTTGTCATCTTACCAGCCACTCCATCTCACTCAACACACACTCACCTCTCCCCTACCCACTCACACCTGCCACTCTTGTGAGACCAGAGCCAGGCCCAGTCTCCTTGGGGCAGAGCCTTCAGCCCACTTTGTGACCTGTGGGAGGCAGCTGGTGCCCAGGGACACAAGGCGTCCTGTCTGGGCAAGCATGTCTGTGCAGGATGAAGCAGAGGAGGTGGGTCCTGGGGAGGAGGCACAGCAGCCTCTCTGAGCTCCGCTTGGGTGAGGTAAGGGTGGGAAACCACTCACAGGGCAGGAAGGAAAAGGCCAGCAGGATGCATCCCTGGACACAGAATGCTTTCAACGTTCAGTAGTGTAGACTCATTCAAAAGAAAGCTACTTATGTCCTTCAGACAGTGAGAAGTACAGTGTGTCTTTGTCCTCAGTCAAGGTGTCCCAGGGCAGAGTGGGTGACCCTTATTACCAGAAACCACCGCCTTTGGCTTGCCTCACACCTGACCTTCGGGTGGTGGCTGAAGAATGGTTCCCAGGACATCTGGGGGCCTGTGTTTCATCCAAGGAGCCCCGCTCAGGATGTGCAGACCCCCTGGCCCAGGGCCACTTCGCTTTCCAGACAGGGAGGTGCTGGCTACATGAGGTAAGCGGCCATTCATCTTCATAAAAAATTTATTACCAACTTCCTGACTTTCCTTACGGGCTCCACAATTTGTTTGTTTCTAAGTGAGGATGGTATTTAGGTTTTTTTAAATGGCAATTATTTTATTCATCAAGTTTTCTGAGAAACACACAGAAAAGCTTTCTTTGGCACAAAAGCAATATCAGCTATCTGTGGTTTTCTGACTGGTAATCAGCTAATTTTTAATCACCTGAAACGTGTTCCTTCCCCCAAATTCTAATTTAATATTCATCCTAATTTAAAAAATTTTTTTCATTGGTCACAAGAAAATGCCTTTAAGTAAATTCACTATTTTAAAAAGTGCCTCGGGCTGGGGATTTAGCTCAGTGGTTTTGCTGCCTGCTGCACAAGCACAAAGAGAAGACTGTAATCCCAGCACTCTGGGAGACTGAGGCAGGACAATCACAAGTTTCAACCCAGCCTGGGTAATTTAGTGAAGTAGGGAGACCCTGTCTCCAAATAAAGATAAACAGATAAAGGGCTTGGGATGTTGCTAAGTGCTAAGGCCCTGGGTTCAATCTCCAGTACCAAAAAATAGATAAAATAAAATAAAAAATAAAAGCCGAATTCTGAAGCCTCCTTAATTGTGTTCTTCCGCTCTTTCATCCAAGACATTTTTTCTAAATGACAAGAACCTTCTCCACACTCATCTGTAGCCAAAACTACGCCAACACAGTGATGATGTTTCATGGCACACTATAGGACTTCCATTTTTGGACCAAAAAGTTCCATGACAGTGATTTTAACCAGACTATATGACAGGGCATAAAAATGCATTTCAAAATGAAGGCATCTCCTTAGTTATGTGTCTGACATCATGCGATTCTTTGTTTCAAATTAACTATTCAATGTTATCTGTCTTTGTGCATCTAATGGGTTTTCCTCTGTTGAATATTATTTTCAGACGAATAGTAATTTAATCAAATGTTCCCCTCTGTTAAAAAAGAAAAGCCATACCAGATAATCTATTAAAAAAAAGAAAAGAAAAGCCAGAGCTTGATTTGGGCCGAGTCTAGCTTAATTACATTAGCTTTTTAACAAAATATTAAGTAAAGCTTAAGAGAACTGATTTTGGAAAAGCCTGTTCCCAGTGACTTTAATGTTTTCTCATTAATTTTTTTCTAAACTCACACTCTTAGTTTTCTCTCATGTTATGAATTAGCTGAAAAACAGATCTGGTTCTAATTCCCAAGTCCAACTCTAATTCAGAATAAACTCTTAGTCACAGAACTTCAGACAAAAAGTCTGTCTTGCCCACTGACTGTGCCCATAGCAGAGGGAAACCTAGATTTCAAAAGCGTATTAGTGTACAGGAAAGTACCGGCAGGGTTATTTAGTCAGGTATTCCACAATATGTGTCTCATATCCAAGATTGGGTGATCCTAATGAACTCCTAATAGGAAAATTATATCCTATATGAGTTTATCTCAGATGCTGAATTTTGTGAAAACCAGCTTAACTGAACAATCAATTTCCTTAGAAATTTTGCATCAAAATTGATGGCACCTATGTCATAAAAGACAAAGACAGACTATGGAAATGCTCCAGGTTCAGAAAATATGAAAAATTGACCCTGTCAAGAAAAAAATGACTTAAAGGAAAACAGTAGACCGAAGATTCAACTGGAATATGGATTATAGAATACTGTAGATGTGTTATGTCAATGCTAAATTTCCTTAGGTCTCTGGACATGGCATGTGCCTGTAATCCCAGCCCTTGGGCAGCTGAGGCGGCACCCTGGGCTATGTAGCGAGACCCTGTCTCAAAAAAAATAAAATAAAAATAAAAAAAGTTTTGAGTTCAATCCCCGGTACTGTAAAAAAAAAAAAAAAAAAAAATTTCCTTAGATTGTTAAGTATTCTGGATTAATAAGAGAGCATCTTTATTCTTAACAAGTATACCTATGGCATTTGGAGGTAAAGTTTTTCTTTTTTGTAGCGCTGGGAGTGGAACCCAGGACCTTGCAGATACTAGGCAAGTGGTCTACCCCTGAGCTATACCCTCAGCCCAAAGGAAAAGGAAGTCAAAAAGTCAGGGTAGAGTGGGGCACACAATAATAACAGGGTATCTAGGTAAAGCTGGGTAGATGTTATACAGGTTTTCTTTTTATTATTCTTATCCTTGCAAAATTTTTGTAAGCTTGAAGTTATTTAAATAAAAATTATTTAAATAATTAAAATATTATTAATAAAATATTATTAATAAAATTATTTATTGTTTAAATAAAAATTATTTAAATAGAAAGTCAGTGCCACCCAAGTTTAGTCTGAGTTGGGGACAGGGACAGCGGTTGATTGGCTAAGTTCTTTTTTGTTTGTTTTTAGTACCAGAGCTCGAACTCTGGACCTTGCACTTGCATGGCAGGCGCCAGAACCACTGAGCTAAATCCCTGGCCCTGATTGGCTAAATTCTTTAAAACTCCTTCAAGAGGATGGGTGCAGCTCAGTGGTAGAGCCTGTGCCTAGCATTTGTGAGGCCCTGGGTTCCATTTTCAACATCGTTTACCCAAAAAAGCTTCTCAAGACCTCTCACTTCTGCAAATTGTTAACTAAATAATAGTTTCCTTAAGGGATAGTAAGAAAAATATAGCCCAGTGAAATTCATTACATCTCTCCTTCACGGTAGACTTGACTGGTGTTTAACAAAACAACTGGGCACCACAGCTTTGCCAAGTCGAAAAAGAAAATTAACCATCTCAGTGCCAACCACAGGGTGTTTGGGAATCAGTATTGGTTACACCGCTGTGGGAAAATGGGGCTAAAACCTAGAGTACTTCCTATCTTCAAGAAAAAGCAAACTCCAAGCCAGGCAAGGTGCCACACCCTGTGATCCGAGCTTCTCAGGAGGCTGAGGCAAGAGGATTGCAAATTCAAAGCCAGCCCAGGCTACTTCAGGAGACCCTGTCTTAAAATAAAAATTTTTAAAAAGGGCCAAGGACAAAGCTCAGTGTTCCCTGGGTCCAATCCTTAGTACTACAAAAACAAAACAAAACAAACAAAAAACTACAGGAAACCCCAGAGATGAATTTGGGCTCAATGCTTATAAAACAACTGTAGAACAATTTTAAATGACAGAATGAAAACCTCACCACCATGGTACTCAGCACAAGTATTAAGGTGAGAGAGGCAGGATATAAAGGCCGAATTTCCTTTTGGGTAATGGGGCCAGTTCCAGATGAGCTCAATTAAATATTTTCTTGTTTATTTATATTTATTATTACTTTCTACAAGTATTAAACAGAAACACAACAACCCTTCATTAAGCAGCATTCTGCTATGGGGTTTTATGCCCAGCTAAATGAGTGTCCCCAAAGTTTTCTGCAGACTTGCAGTGGAGATTCCCTATTATGAAGGGCTGTAGAACCCAAGCCTGGTTTACAGTTTTCTAATTGTCTTAATTATTTGAGTATATGGGAAACTTTTTGCCTTTACAATGAATGCCACATAACTCAATTTTCTAATTCAGTATATTTTACTCAGTAAAAGTTTTTAGGCCTCTGAAACTTTATTACGAACTCATTATTTTATGATTTTGCTGTAGTTCTTTTTAAATTGACAACTCCAGTGTAATATAAAAAGAGATTCTAATCAGTAGATCTAATTACCAGGAAAGTTAAGTACTGACATTATTTCATTTTACTTAAATATGACTTTAAAAAATAATGACTCCCAGATGGATGGGAAGTTGCCATTTGAACAGCTGGAGTAGAAAGAAGCGTATGTCATTAAAGAAACGGTTTTGTAAAGCTCAGTTTAATCCATGTTAACTTTCCAAATAGCATTTTCAAACTCAATCTTAAAATATCAGGAAATATTTTTGGAATTCTGGGCCTTTGACATTTTTTTTCAAATCAGCACTCATAGCTTTGCACAAGATAAATAAAAATGTGTCTGTACTGGAGACATCGAATTCCTGTTAAAATCTGGAGCAACTTAAAACATGAGACACTAGAATTCATTGAGAAGTCTTATTACTTTAGTATACACAAATAGAGCAAAACCTTGCACTACACAGTGCCCTGTCCTAATTATTTGTTCATTCAGTAGTCATTTATGAAAGTGCCCAGTAGGTGTTATACTTTAAATGTTTGTTGGACTGAAATTAAATAAGTAGATCCACTAAGACCCAGTGAATATAGGAAGTTGCTTAGGGGGGCTTTGGAGCTGTCTCAGAAGGCATGGCCGTAGGGAGCATTATAACTATATCTGGTCCCT